AACTATTTAGAAATGATTTTGAAAAAGATAATAGCTACTTAACTATCTTTTATAAGCTCTATAAATAACTCTCTTTTATTCAGTGAATAAATGAGAGATAGAAAACAATATTCTGCAATTGACACACTTCTCTCAGTTGTTCATGATATTTAAATAGCAAAGTATGAAGATCTGGTCTCAACTGCAGTTTTTATTGATATAAAAGAAGCAATTGATCATGTTTCAAAGTCAAAGTTAATTCAGACTTTGAAGATATTAAAACTGTCACTTTCTCTAATAAAATGAGTTAACTGTTTTATATCTAAAAGAATCATACAACTTTTCTTTGATGAAATGAAGTAAGACAAGACTGAGATAAAAATAGAAGTATTATAAGAATCTTCAATCTTACTCATTTAATTTACAATATACACTGCATATCTATTCAAAGATAGAAATATGAAAATAGTAGAATCTCTGAGTTATATAGATGATATTGATCTAGTCTACAGCTCAAAAACTATTAAAGAGAATTTGAAAGTGATTGAAAAAGCTGCAAAGAAACTCTTTATTAGAGCAGGTATCAATCAAATTCAATTTAATATGAATAAAACTGAGTTAATTCATTTCTTTTCTAGATTCAATGAGAAAGAACTATTTCTAACTCTTTTAAATAGAGAGATTAAACCCAGTTTAAATGTCAAATGATTAGAAGTATGGTTCAACTTCAAGTTGAATTTTAAATATTATATTCAACAAAGAACTGTCAAGGCAGAAAGACTATTGAATAACATTATCAGACTATCAAATACAGAGAGAGATCTATTCTTCCAGGCTATGAGACAGTTATATATAGCCTGTATTACCTCAGTAGCTGATTATGAAGTTTAAATTTGATGAAATAATCAAGGAAATTTCACTGAACTCTTTCAAAGTCTGAAAAACAGAGCTTTGAGAAGAATTCTGAAAGCATTCAAATCATCTTTTATTAAAGCAATGAAAATTGAAGCTTCAATTCCTTCTTCTGCTATTAGATTTGAAAAGGCCTGTATAAACTATGCTCTGACAGTTATAAAGATGAGCTTAAATCATATAATCAGAGAAAGAGTCTCTTCTTTATTTTCATTAATTAACTCTGAAAATGAACTGAATTGAAACAGATTTCTTGATTAAAATGAAAATAATTCTTCAAAGAAAATGCCTTCTCAACTGTACAGACTATGCTCACTGATTAAAAATCAATTTTCTTCTTTAAATATGGAAAAAGTTGATCATGAGAAGTTATCTGTCTGAAGAGAAAAGCTTGAATCTCTTATAGACTTGTAAATAAGTGAACTATCTAAAGAGAAAGAATATGAACAGTATTTGAAGAAAATTTCTACAATTAATATAAAAGACTCTATTCTGATTTATTCAGATGACTCAAAAAACAAGAATTTGAATAGATTAGACACAGGCATTGCTTATACTGAAGATAATATTAAATCTATCTCAAATTTCTGAAATTTAGGCTGTGAATCTGAAGTCTTTGATACTGAACTATTTACAATAGTAAAAGACTTTAAACTTATTAAAATAAAATCTTATAAAAGAGAAAATAGTTTGAAAGAGATATGAATATTCTCTAATAGTCAAGCTGCTTTAAAAAGACTTAGAAATAGTCAGATTTATAATAATTAAATGAATCTTGAACTGATCTTAAACTTCATTTCAAAAATTCAAAAGAGAAGAATATCAAAGCTGATAATTCATCTACACTGAGTTGCTACTCATATGAATATTCATAGCAATGAATTGACTGATTCAGCTTTAAAAAAAGATTCAGAATTAAGCAGATCTATTCAAAAAATTGTGTCCTGGTTTTTTATAAAGAGAAAAATAAAAGAATCTTGTTTAGACAAGTGAAATGAAAGCTGGCAGAAACAAAAGAAGAGTATACATTATTCAAGATTTGAAACAAAACCCAAGTGAAAATCTTATTCAATTAAATGTAAAAAGAAAATATTCTCATCTATAATACAGCTAAAACTAGGACATGACTATTTTAAATCTTATATGCAAACATTTAATGATAGATTTTATTCAATATAATGCTCATTCTGCAATATAAATGAGAATTCTGAGTATATTATAATGCACTGTGCATTATACAATAGTCTCAGAGTTAGATTGAAAGAGAAGTATGTGTAAAAACTCCTTAAATATCTGATTCTTCGTATGAACTGAGACAGGACTTAAATACTTAATAGACTATCTATCAGGGGCTCAAGCAGCGTCAAGAAAAGAAGCGATTTCTGAAATGCACGGAAGAACGAGAAGGCGATAGAACGTAACTATTATTCAAACACCGCCATAGCCGACAGCGCATCATCTCAGCTGT